GTCGGATACCGTCCACTGTTTAACGAAGCATGGAGCTCAGAACGTGTAACGGACTGGGGAGTAAAAGTGAGGACGTACAGCTGCCAATATAGAGGTGAAGATCAAGCCGATCGTGCACACAGCTATGACTGTATTATTCATCAGGATGTGCACAATCACCCGTTAGAATGTCCACTCACGGAAGGGCCATTGTACTCGGAACTTGTCTGAAATGGCAAGAACAGTGAGGAGGGAGACGATGGTGATCTGATGATTATCAATATGTCAGCGAAGGGGACGATGTGAACAACAGTAGCGTTGAGTGTTGATGATGCACGTACACATGTGCCGGCGATGGGAATGGTGCTATAGATAGGCCCATCAGTCACCATCGCCAATGTTGAAGGGGACGTGGAATGGACTGTACTCACTTCAGCTGCGAGACGGTGTAGCGTTTGGTGCCGTCAGAGTTCTTCAGACTCTTGAGCCATAGGTTGAAGTAGCCGGTACCGGTCCCGCCTTGGCCCGCCAAGGTGTACGCAAGCCAAATCCCCTGTTTGCAATTGACCATCAGCTATGATTGATGAGAGGTGTCCAAAATGTCACAGGAAGAGGACTCACAATATTGGTAGGACGAGTGAAGGTAGCCTTGACCGTCTTCCAAGTCCACCCGCGAGGCAAGGCTCGGCCCTCGTAGGCCATCCTTCGGTTGGCTGCCTCGAGGTCCGCGGGCTTGATCCACTTAGCCCAGGGATTGAGCTTTGCGGTGGTTGGTCAGTCAGGCAGATGCTAAGTTTTGTGGAAGAGCAAACAGGTACTCACTGCGTTGGGGTAGTCCGGGCAACCTATGAAGCCCCAGGCGGCGACGACGATGGTGATAACAGCGTTGACGATGAAGAGCTTTGGGAGAGTCAGCTCGGAGTGCTATCTGTCTCCAATACGATAGTGTACTTACCCATCGCCAGCCAGCTATACCGTGGGCACCATTTCTATGATAAATATATTAGCTGAATGTGCTTGTACGCATATGCTGACCGTGCCTCACAGATTCGTGTACAATGCCGCTTGGAGCGCTCCAGAGAAGATACCGCCCAAAGACGTGGCACTTTGGTACAGCGCCAGACGTTTGCCGATCTCCGCGGGTGTGTACCAACTGAGCAAGAGCACCATGGTCCCAGGCCACTGTTCAGAGTATCCTTATGTCAGCCAATGCTCAGGACACTACAACGATAGATAAAGTCTACTAACAGCTGTTCCTTCCCAAAAGCCGACAAGGAATCGTAGACCATCTATCAAAGAGATATCGTTAGACAGTTGGTTCTCTCAAGGTCAGCCCTATATACTCACAAACATGTTTACTCGTCTTGGCCGCAGACAGACCGGCAGTGGCAACTCCCCAAATTACTGTGCCCACAGTCAGCGCGGTCATGGACAGGTCCGTTCAGACTACTCACACTCGGCCACAGGCATGAACAAGCTGGGCCGGATGCGACCGTTGATAAAGTAAGCCGAGAGAGGAATGCAGATCATGTAGCCGATGTTGTAGTAAGTGGTGAAGAAGTTGAGCTCGTTGCTGAAAAGCTTGAGCTGTACATCTTGACAGTCAGCTGATGAAAAGGTGAGAGGTACGAGGCCTTGTGTTGTGTGTGGGGAGAGGATGCCAAGAGATTCACTCACGTCTTCTTGCATTCCGGAGACATACGCATTACTGATGTTGGTTTGGTCCAGGTACTTGACAATAGCAGAAAGCATGGCATCTGGAGAAGCAGGCGGGTAAGCGCATGTCTTCTTCCGCACATACGATCGACTCGGGAGCAAAATATAGATACGTACAGGTCATAAAGAAGATGTCAAGCTTTCGAACCAACACTTTCTCTCTCCTCTTCTCCTCGGACCATGTCGGATCGTTGAGGAGTATGTAACCCCTGATACGCTGAAGAACACCCATTGTGGACGTATGTCAGTCGTTCGCTATGACGGAAAGTGGACGACGAGGGGACCGATTGCTAGCTGTCGTTCATAACAGCTTCATCACGGTCTCTTCTATATCTAATCACTTGTCCGAACGTCGTCGGCAGTTTCTTTTTCCTCGCTGTTCCTGTTCGGCTGGGGGTAGGTTGACGCCATTCTTCAAGGTTCAGACGTGCTCGCTTTTGTTCTCGCAGCTTTTCATCAAGCCCACACATGTCGATGTCTACGAGGGGCTCTCGGGGCTCACTCGATCCGACCCGTCCCAGGAGTCGCGATTGAATTTGATCACGTCATGCACCGTGAGAACCGCACTTTGCCGTCAGTCTGACCTTGACGCCGGCGTTTGAAGTGTGTCTGATCAAGCACACGGGTAGTCAGTCATGTGGTGCCATATGTATCAGCTCAAATAATGACAGATCTCCAAGTACATCCTTATCGTATAATATACCAATGGAAGACGATTGATACTTCTTGTGCATTCGAGGCATCACTTCATCGACATGAGAAGAACGAAGAATGTGAAATGCTGTGTGGACGTTTCGGTCTACCGACCATCGCATTTGCTACTTGCGTTGCCCTGCATCCCCGCACATGTGATGAAGACACTGTTTTACCGAACCCAAGGTGCATAGCACGGCTTGATAACGCTGATAGATGTTGGCGGAATATAACGCAATCCCGGACAGGCTTTCGATAAGCGCGTAGCAGTAGTGGTCACCAGGAACGGGAGAGTCGCGATCACGCCACAGCATGCTGCCCGAAAGGCCGGTTTGTCGGATCGGCACTTGCATTGTCGCAATCGATAGTCTTCATGTCACTCCAGATTTGGCATTAGTTTCATGCTGACATGATAACGACGGGGGAAGATGTGGGACTCCGCTATGTCAAGAGATATAGACGGCATCGGCCGGACCTCTATACATCCCAGCTAGCAGCTAGTATATTAATCACTGCACCTCCTCGACTCGCGGCAAGCAGCGAGCTACCACCCAGCCCAGCAAGCCCGTAGGGACCATTGTATTGCAATGTCGTACGGAACCACCAAGACAGACACCATTGCCGATGCGGATGAAGTGACTCGGAATGTAGGCAGACTTCACTTGCGAGGCGGACAAGACGACGACACACAGACAGCTGTTTCGGTAAGTCTGCATCGTCCGTTTGAAGAGCAGACACGACAGGGAGACTGATGTGGATCTCTGGTGTGCGCAGGCCGCAAAATATCCCACCTACCTTCCCGTGTGGGAGAAGTCGACATTCCCAGACTGGGAAGAGGTTCCTTACGTGGACCCCGGGACAAGAGGGACCGCCGACAAGCGCCACCTTTTCTCTGAGCCCGGCGCAACGTCTCGCTCTGTCACGCCTTCTTTCGGAGAGGAGATCAAGGTGAGTGTTGGTTTGATCTACATGGTGGGGTGATCAACAGCCATCACAAGGCTGACCACCGCCTGCCGACGTCACCAGGGTGTTCAACTTTCCAAACTCACGAAGGAGGGGTTGGACGATCTTGCGTTGCTTGCCGCCGAGAGAGGTCTGCTTGTTTTGTGAGTCTCTCCTCGATTCATCAACGTTCCTTACTAGTTTCGGACTAACGTTATGCGCAAAGCCGAGACCAAGACTTCAAGGACATCGGTCCCGACAAGCAGCTTGACATTGTCCGTCACTTCGGACGACTCCACATTCACCCTGTGAGCTACCATTCAGGTCAAATCTGCCAGCAAAATGTGGAAGCGATGCTGACGTGGTTTGTCTCCGTCAAGACTATGGGACACCCCCCTGGCTATCCCGAGATGCACGTGGTCTACCGTGATCCCAAGGACAGTACCATTGCGTGAGCTTTCTTTCGTTTCGACACCTTTCCCGCAGGTAATCACGTAGGCAGAAGCTGACGCACGGTACTATCAGCCGATACACGAAGCCGAACGAGGTTCAAAAGATTACCAGCGTGGGTTGGCATGCGGACCATACCGCCGAAATCCAGCCTCCCGGGATCACCTTCTTCTTCGCATTGGAGGCTCCTCCTGTGAGTGCTACGCTTCCTTTCAACCTACTCAAGGATCATGAACTTACACTGGCATACCTGACGTATAGACCGGCGGCGACACTCTCTTCGCTTCAACAACCGAAGCGTATGATCGCGTGAGTCCACTAGGACCACGTAATATCCGTTATTGCTGCTGACTCACTGGTGATGTTTCCCGCGTAGCTGTCTGAAGAGTTCAAGAAGCGTCTTGAGGGGTTGCAAGCGGTCCACGACAACAGCGACATGTTGGCCCATTCTGGGTCTTTGAACGGTCCCGTCCGCTTCTCCCCTTCCAAGAATCTCCACCCACTTGGTACGTCCTTGGCGGGCGATCGACTGTGCTGAAGTGCGACAGGAGGGTGCTAACGGACCGGCGTGGCTGTACAGTGCGCACTCATCCTGTCACCGGCGCCAAGATCCTGCACGCCTCGGGCGGTGGAGGGCACCTCAAGCGCATCTACGGCTTCAAGCAGGAAGAGTCAGACTACTTGCTGAACTTCCTCAACGACGTTCTCATCAAGAGTGGGGATCTTCAGTACAGGGTTCACTATGAGCCGGGGACCGTCGCTGTGTGGGACAAGTGAGTAGCGACTTCAGCTCGAGGCAACGTCATTCGGTAAGCTAAAAGGGTTTGCGTTGCTTTTCAGCCGGGTGGTTGCCCATACCGCATCCTACGACTTCAAGGGCGATGAGAGGAGGCACGTTGTTCGCATAGCTGCTATGGCCGACAGGCCTCAGTAGAGCGTCAGTATGCGATATGATAAAAATGGTACAAAGGATGCAGGAACATTGAGACTCTACATGCAGCGGCCGACATCGCATGCGCTCTTCGTCCAGATCATCTGTTGAGGTCTGCACAAATCGCGGCGGGCCGATCGTTACCGCTGACAGCCTCCTCACTGTGACTCTATGTATCCCCCCATGCATGGTTTTTACAGTGCTGACAAATCTGCATGCATCCAGTTTCTAACCAGGTCGTCGTCAACAGCATGCTTGATGAGCTCCATATAAAAGTTGCAAAAAGCAAAACCCAAGGCGGGGATTGAACCCGCAATCTTCTGATCCCATACAATAAGTAGAAGTCAGATGCCTTAACCATTAGGCCACTCGGGCCAGTATCATCTTTTAACGCCTCAGCAGACGCAGAGGACAGAGCGTTGTGACCCCTACCTTTACACCTCTCTGGTGTGTCTATGCCATGGTTTTCGGTAGCTCTGATTCTGCTTGCAATACATATCCTATCAGAAGCAGAGCCCCCTGTGATAGTGGTCCGCGGCCCACGAGCGGTGGAAGTTTGCTGCTTGGCTGCCAAAGCGTTATTTACGCCTCCACTTAACGGTGCCAGCCTGAGATTTCGGTTTCTCTTTCGGCCTCTGGTCACCTATGACATGAGCCTGTGGATGTCGTTGCCTCTTCTTTAACCATTGAATACCACTGTTATCACATAGCGTTAATTTCCCCGCTTCTTCGAAGCATCCAGGCGCCCTCCACTTTCTCAACTATTGCCTTTTTAACCGGCCCATCGCCCCTGATCAGTCTAATCGGACCGTCTGTAGATCTTGGACATTGAAACCATGGTGCGTACTCTCTGCATCCAAGCCAGATAAAGAGCCATGGTTGATTGACCACCCATGCAGTCCGCACCGAAAGTCATTGCGGAGCTTGTTGTGACAGGAATAAAAGTGTTGGGGAAGGCGACAGCGGCGGCGGGTCAGCAGGCTGTGAGAAGTGAGTGACCACTTCGTCTCCTGAAGCGTGTGCCATGTCGGGTCAGCAAGTTGGTGCTTTCTAGCGGAGAGGGCAAGGACGATGAGCTTTGCGCTATGTGGATTCTTTGATTCTGGAAGGCAGGCTCATTTGACTCTAGGCTATGTGCTGACTACATCTACCTCTAGATTTCAAGCACAAACCTGAAGGTGCACCTGACTCGGCACCAGTTGGCTCTGGCTCGTCCAAGAGCAAGATCACCAGCCAGCTGCAGATGAGCGTGGATGAGGCGAGATTAATTCTCAATGTGAAGAAGGACGACCCTATGGAGGTCATTCAGAAGGTGAGTTTCTACAGCCTTTGACTTGGTGGCATGAGAAAGCAGCGGCTTCAATCCTGGGCGTCACGCTGCTTTCCGTTACCTTCCACTACCAGGATTTCTGATCGTGGTGACCATGCTGACCTGGCTGGAATCTCGTACAGCACTACGACACCATCTTTGCCGCCAACGGCCCCCCCCCTCCCTCCGCTGAGCCCGCACCCGCAGCAAAGGGCCCGAAGAAGACGAAGGCGCCTACACACTCTCACTACCTCCATTCGAAGGTGTACCGAGCTTTGGAGCGGATAAAGGCGGAGGAGGCGGAGGCACAGGCTGCTGCTGAAGTGCCTGCGGCTGAGGCAGCAGGAGAGGGGCAGGCGCCAGGGGCTGGGCCAGGTGCAGGCGAGGGGAGGTAGTTCTTGTTTTGGGGCTCGCATATGCATGGATCACTTCTCTATATCTATTGCGTGGCTGTTGCATCGTTTCTCTTGTCATTGTTTTGCCTCAGAAAAGCAGAGGCCTGCCGTCAAGTTGAACGAAGCAGTGTCCAATTTGCCACACGACGCCCACACCCGATTTGATGAACTCACGCTTCACGGCAAGCGGGTCGCGGGAACAACAACGACGCGTTTTGTCTCGACATCGTCCTTGCGCCTGCGTGATCACATCTTGCCATAGATTGCTCATCTCTTCTCGTCCAACCCATTTAGATCGACATGGCGTCCCCATACTCCCCGCCATCGCCTGGGAAGCGCTCGCCATCCCCCGTATTCGACTTCTCCGCCCCTCCACGTTCCCCCATCCGCGCCTCCTCATCCTCGCCGAGTGCCGAGCCAGACGCCGAGACCATGCTCGACAACATCGACCTTGACACAGAATCAGCCGTGGACCCGTGGAAGGCCTCCGAGACTGCCCCATCAGCAGGGTCCTCATCGAGGTTCAGTGAGGCGTCCATGGCGAGTGTCTCCGCCCAGCGGTACAGCAAGACTGCGGCGTCAACGCCGGCGACAGAGATGATGGTGGGGGCTGGGGAGGTGCCCATCGTCTTGGGAGTAGCTGTGGTGGACTTCAACCATCTGGTGCGTCTACCCATATTGCGCGCCACATATGGTTATCGCTGACCTTCATTTCAACGGCTGTTTAGATTGGCCCCACTGTCGAGTTCGCGTACCCCCCAACGCTGCAGGCTGCAATCACGGATGACGAGGACTTGGCACGGCTGCTGCCGTTTCTGGCACTACCGGATGGCGCACATCTGGTGAGCATGCTCCTTTCTGTATAGCTGGGCTGGCGTTGACTTGATACGAAGAGCGAGGAAGACTATTCCTACTTTGTGAGCAAGCATTGTGCAGAATCCATGAGCATTGTCTGATCTAGCCACCACCCAGCACTGCACCTACTCCCCCTCCGACTCTGATGTGCCCACCAATGTTCCTTCATCCCAGACATTGTTTGGTATATCGTACGTATCCGCCCTCTGTGTCGCCATCTGCAAACCTGACGGACGTATCACTGCTAGATGTAACCGCCAACTGGCGTCGTCGGAGCTGAAAAGACGACCCAGCGACGTGACGAGGAGTATGGTTCAAAAGGCTGTCATTGTGATCGCGAGCCAGCCCGTCTTCGTGAGTCTCATTCCCACCGCTACTGTCTACTACAGCTTACAATAAACTTGTAGGGCCCTATTAGGTGGGTACAAAAGGCCACTTATCGATGGCATTGCTGACGTGCAGGTGTAGGGATCGGCTCGGTGTGGTCACCCGCGCGTACTTCGCCCAGCGGTCAGTCATTACAAGTATTTACCTGACTTATGAGCGGATGCTGATATATGGTGCTCAGTGACTTTACGCAGACAGAGATCCTGGAAGATTTCTACCGTAGCTTAGAGACGAGTCTGGAAGGGAAAAGTGGTGAGGGAGCGATCTACATGGGTGAGTTATGGCGCTATACTGTGTCTGCCACGCGACCAAAGCTGATGCCCTCAAAGGTACTAGCCTCCGAGATCTCGTCCACAAGTTCCGTCACCGGACCCTTGTGCTGTTGAAGCTCTTGATGCTGCAGAAGAGAGTACGCCAACCTCCTTCCACTTCCCGCCTCGGGCCTTACTGACCTCGGATTAGATAATGCTTTTTGGCTACCCAGTGGAGAAGTTGTGTACATACCAGTACTCTCTCGTATCCCTGATACCGGGTGAGTCTTTAGACGACTGCTCCGCGACTAGGCTAATGCTGCTCCAGGTCTTTTATTGAGCTTGAAGGACTCTGGTTCGCCGGATCTCGACCACAAGTCGACGCGGGTGCGCCCTACATCACTACGGACGAGTGATCGGGCGAGCATGCTTCGCTATATGGGTCTTCGTGAGTATCGTTAATTTGATTGCCATGTTCCTTTGCTGACCATCCGCTAGCGCTGCGAGTATTTGGCAGAGACGCAGTTTTCCAGCCCTACATGCCTCTGCAACAGATGGACATGCTGCAAGCAAAGAGCTGGCTGGTGGGCACGACCAATCAGATCGTGACACAGCAGAGGGACTGCAAATACGACCTCCTTGTCAACGTGAGTAGATGTGCCACTTGAATTGTGCTTCGCTGACATCGAAGTAGATCGACAACAACACATTCGAGTTCTCCGACCCCAAGGTCGAACGTCTCGCCGCTCTCACACCAGCGGACCGGAAATGGATGGACGATGTCGTACGGACCGTGGAGGAGACGTGGACCACAGTGAGCACTCTCTGATCAAACTTCATGCCAGGTGGATGCTGACATTCGAGTCTAGCCCGAAGGCGAACGGCCATCGTAAGCTCCCGGTCCCACTTTTGGATATGAGCTCGGCTGACGTTTATGGCAGGTTCCGCGGCAGCGATGATGACCTCAGAGCTCGCTTTGAAGAGTATATCTGCGCGGCACTGTCATCCATCAAATTCGCCGACTTTTTGACCAAGGGCAATGCTCAAGACATCTCCATCGTGGCCGCTGGCAGTGAGCTTCAAACCAGCATATCAAGCAGAAAGAGGCGCTGATAAGTAAATTCAGGTGGAGAAGGAAACGTGATACAGAGCTTTGGAGAGCAATGGATCTTGGCATTCAAGCAGACGGAGGCCTATGATCTCTGGAACGGGTGTACGGATCCCGCCTTGTTCGACATATGCGAGCCAAAGTGAGTACACTGCGGTACGCCGAACGTAGTCAAGATAGCTGACAGGTGGTGCAGACACCCGTGCGAAGGCAAGGTCAACCCAGTGTCAGATCTCGGTCTCCGATTGACTGGTACGTCAAGGAGGGGCAACGGGTCATCGACCATACCAACATGTCAGAGCGGGGCTGACGAATACGCAGAGGGCATACATGACCTGCGCTTGGATCAACAACTCGCCCCTACTCGCGAAGCTCTTTCTTCAGCATTTGCCGCTGGGTCATCATCCATCTTCAAGGCCTTCGACGGCGTGCGCTCAGAGGTCTCTTCCCGTCTTCGAGAGCGTGAAGAGGCACAATCCCGCGCACGAGAGTCGGCCGCCTCTCCCACGGGCTCGGTATCTGGACGATCCAGCCCGGCGCCTCCCAAAGCTACCTCGCCGACCCCGCCTGTGGACATCAAAGCTACACTGGGCGGTATTGGTGCGGGGATCGGCGGGTTCTTTGGAAGCAAGGTGGCGAGCTTCAGAGCGGGGAGGGAAGAGCCTGCCAAGGGGCTGAGGCCCATGAGTCTTGTTGGAAGCTCCAGCGCCGGGAGTGTGAAGAATTTGGGGAGGAGCCCTGGGCAGGAAGGGCAGGGCCCACTGGGCAGATGATGGTCGCTGCTACTTAGATGCGTAGATGAAAGCGATTTATGTCCAATGATGGATAGCAGACACTCACTCAGAAAGTCAGAAGAATAATGGGGCGATGGGGTCTGGTGGGTGGAGTTTGTCGGCAGATTGTTGGCCCTGGGCGATAATCGGACATATCAACACCAGCCTTATCATTCCTCCGCACAATCAGTCTTCTGGGCCGAAAAGCTATGCGCTCGGTGGCCGGACGTTGGTGGTGCATGTCGGTTCACTGCAAGCTGTGCAAGATGGTAGATGCCAAAAGAGAGATGGGCGTCG